TGGGGCGCGGGGGCGGGGGTGGGGGGGAGTAGTGAACAAGAGAGAGAGCAAGCAAAAGAGAAACCAAGAGATAGAAAGTGAGAGCAATAAAGAACAAGTGACAATGAGGGAAGGTGGGGAGAGAAGTGGGCAAGAGAGGAAGGAAGAGAAAGACAGAGAGAGAGTGAGGAGGGGAGAGAAAGAGGAACAAAGAGGAGGAGAAAGAGAGAAGACAAGAAACTTAGAGAGACCGAGAGACACAACACAAGACAACATAGAGAGAGATGGGGTGGGGGGAGAGCGTGCGAGACTTTGTCATACAGAAATGTAGAGTGGGAGCAAGAAAGAGAGAGAGAAGGAGAGAACAAAACAGAGAGAATGAAAGGGAAAAAGCAAGCAAGAGAAAGGGAGAGAGACAGACAGAAAGACAGGGAAGGGGAAGAGAGAACAACAAGGGGAGACACACTAGATATGGAGAGAGATAAAAAGGGAGAGAGGGGGAGAAAGGGAGAAAGAAAAAGGAGCAAAAAGAGAACAATAAAGAATGAGAGAGAATGAGAAAGAGAGAAACAGAGAGACATATTGAGACAGAAAGAAACAGAGAGGGAGACAGAGGGAGGCAGAGAGAATGAGAAAGCAAGAAAACAAGGAAGAGAGAATGCAAAGGAGAATGAGAGCGAGCAAGAGGGGAAATGAGAGAGAAATAGGAAGAGATACGGAAAGGGAATGAGAGAAAACAAGAGGCAGAAAGAGAACAAGGAAGAGAGAATGAGGCAAAGAGAACAAGAGGGGAGGAAGGAGATTGAGTGCTTGGACAGAAAAAAACAAAGTAAAATGGTACTTACTGATGAATAGCTTGCAAGAATTTTCGTTGATGTTTCCTTACTTTCGCATGGTCTATCTTTTTAACCAGCTTTGTACTTTTATAAATTAACCATGTTTCCCTGAGTACATTGGCCGCTGCATTTTTCACCTGTTTCATAAAAGAAAACCACCAGGCAACAAAAATAGCATTATGTTCTTTTTAATCTTTTCTAATGTAAAGTCTTTCTAAAGCACTTAAGACTGCCTAACTGTGGGAAGTGGGTATATGAAGAAGCTGCAGCAGTGAGGCCAGAAAGCAATTATCAGACCAAAGGGATTGCTGCGCAATTTCCATGTTGTTTATAAAAGTGATATTGGGACAAGCTCTCTTTGCATCTGGGAATTACTTCTCCCTTTTGAAAAGAGTTAGGACTATTTGTTGTTTATGGCAATATAAATTACAGTGAAGGATTATTAATTTCTTATCTGTATGGCAATTAATTAGATGCATTTTATAGCACCATAAAATTTCTCTTTCCTGTTGTATAATAATTACCTTTCTTTCTCTTAGCAATTTAACAGTCTTATAAATTTTCAGTGCTGTTAGAATAGGGTTTTTTGTTTGTTTTGTTTTTTGTATTTTTCCTTATTCTGGTTTCTTCCTTACCATTCTTAGAGGAGAAAAACAACTTGTCAATAAATGTAGCCAGTGTTCTATTTCATGAGTGCTTTGAATTTTTTTAAAATGAGGCTTTCTATAAAATGTTAAACATAAGAATACCTACAGTTCCTTCCTGGGCCCTCCAATATTCCCAAGAATACTTGAAAGCAATAGACAAAGAACTTCAATGCAATGTTGATTAATGACAAAATTACTAGGCTACTTGCAAAGGCAAGCAGTTCTTGTTATTGATCTGTATTTTCTCTCCCTCTGGCTTTATATCATGCCAGTCACTGCAGTGTCAGAGCTAACCCAATGTATAGGTAAAGACATTTTAGGAATGCTATGCAGTAGCTCTCCCCAGCAGGAGCTCCCAACCTTGAAACCATAAAAGCATTGGAGAACCTTCAGGAGCTCCCAACCTTGAAACCATAAAAGCACTGGAGAACCTTGGTCCTTGCTTCAGTGGAAGCAGAATCAGATTTTAGAGACTTCCTCAAGATCTCTAGTCCTTGCGTTTCCACAACATCTGGCTATCTTCAGGCTGTGAGGAAACTTCTCTAGTATCGGTGTAATGGATTTGTGATCTGAGGTATATCTCAGATTTGATTGCTTGTTTTGTTTGTTTTTCATTTCCTTTGCATTGCATGAGTCTGTAACTACCAAAACACCACTTGGATACACTATTAAACTGATATTTAGATTTATATGAAGGATAGCTGAATAGAATAAACCTTAAAATTCTATATATTTTTTTCATATGCTGCATAAAAATTTGTCAGTTTAATATATGAGTCTGTAGTTTCACAGCTTTTAACTGTTGGTTACATCAATTATCTTCCAGCTTCAAGGACCCTCTGTAGAAGACTATTCAAATCCTCAGAATCTTCTGAGAACCTGCTGTTGCCCTCAACTTCAAAGAGAAGCTCAGAGCATTCAATTCCTCCACATAGCACCTTGCAAAATTACACCCATGAAAAAGTTCAATAAGAGAATGGAGCATGAAACCATTTAAAACCAATGCAGAAATAAATTTAACACACTTTTCCTTTTCAGTTGTGAATATAAAGTGTGACTTACTCTTTTAGTTAGCTGGGTGTCCATCATGAAATTATGCACATGTTTTTCAGCTTTGGTAAGTTCTAACTTCCTTGCCACCACAGCTACCACCAGTGCAGTGCACCCAGCACCCTGAAAACAATAAAACAAACCCACAAGATGTTACTACTGCATTTTGCAGAGTTTTTAATGGAAGTTTCTTCTTTGCTGTAGAAATATGGTAGACATCAGGTGATCCCTGATAAACGTGCTACAACTGTTTCATTTCAGAATAATAGAAGTCAGCAATTGCAGGCTAATAAACTGCCAAGGGATCAAAATCATTGGTGAGCAGCGTTATTTAAAAGTTCTGGTTTTTCTCCTTCAGGGGTTGAAAATTCAAACACATCCCATTTCTAGTGCATAAACAAAAGGGGTGATCAGAACAATTATAAAACCCAGAATATTAGTAAATAAATGTAGAATACCCTGTTCTTAACAATTATCTAGAGCGTACAGGAATTGCTAAAGAAAAAATAAGATTACCTTAGTATTTATCACACACAAAACCCAAAGATTTCTTAGGGTGTTCTTTAAGGCTTAAAGATAAAGTTATCATAAATTTAGCATTTCATCACTTCAGTATAAATACAATACACCAATGGATGGTTGTAGTACAGATATTGGTTCTTCTCCATCAAGCATGGACTGCTGTGGGAAACTTCTTGGAAAACAACGGACATGTACTGAAGGTCAACATGAAGGAGGAAATCATGTGCTGACACTGAAACTACTGCTACTCCCCAACAGATGCGGAATGTGTATTAATTAAAAGACTGACTTGGCAGAAATAGTAACAAAGTGTAGA